TATGGTGAAACTATAGCACACTAGCCTGTCAGCAGCAATTTTATCAAAGGGGACTGGCTTGCAGCACACTCAGTGACTGAAAATGCAAGTATCCCATATCCACCTATACACCTTCTCCTACTGCACCCATCACAGACACATCTGGGAGCTTTTATTTGTGGGAAACAGACTAAATGTGTCAGACAGATAAGAAACACTCTTAATATCTGGTATTATATGTTTTTCCAAGGGGGGTGACCACAGGTTTCAGCAGCGATGTCATTTTCCCCCAATTGTTTTCAACAGGAAACAGAAACGCTCAGCTTCAGCATGGGCTTTATGACACAACCAAGCCTTGGGCAGATTCCAGCCTGATCCTGGAATCCCAGCAGCTGATTGACCTCCCAACCAAAACCTATTTCCTCTCCCACTATGTTTTCTTGGGGCTTGATCCTGCAAGGTGCAGCGTCTGTTGGCCAGGAGCAAGGAAAGCACATAGTTAGTCTTTTCCTAACAGAAAGCAGATCTGAAGTCTCCTGGGAGACTGTGGACAGGGTTGGTGCGTACCTTAGCGTGCTGGAGCTGGAGTGACCATCAGCTCATAGGGATGAGCCTTTATCCACTTATCAGCATTTCAGTAGAAACAAAGCAAGCCTCCCGGGAAAGATTTGTCACATTTCCAAAAGCACGGAACTCCCTTATTCTGTCCTTTACCCTAAACTGCAGCTTGGAATTCATCCTTCTTTTTCCCTAAATAGCTAAGATCAAACTAAATAAAGGTATTGCAGTTTGTTTTCAGCTGGAACACGTTAGCTAAAGGAAATACTGTAAATTACAGTACAACCATGCCGCACCATTGTGATTGTGTAGCTGATAACTCAGCAGCCAGCTCGCAAATGCAGCTGAGAGCTCTTTGTTAAGTAGGAAAAGGAAAGCGACAGTTATTAAACATGAGCAGTCACTAAAGATTCAGGACTTACCCTGAGTCATCCCTGGCTCCCTTGTCTCCTGCTGATGTTTTCATCATTACAGCAAACTTTAAGACACTTTCTGTTTCACAGTGGCTTTAGAGTTCCTTGGTAAAGAAAGTAATTCCTTTCCATCGCTGAGCAGAACCTTCACATCCTTCAGTTTTGTACTGAAGATGATATTTCAAGGGGCGGCAGGGGGAGGATGTTTAAAACCAGCTTCAGGCTCAGTAGTATTGGAGAGCAGAGGACTAAACAAGCACTGAAATGAAAGCAAACTACCAAGAAGGTCTGATTTTAGCCTCTCTTATTTCTACTTCCTGTATTTATATGAACAGGGGATTTCAGGAAGAGGCAGTCTTTGGTGGTCAAGGGTGTGTGTGCGCGTGTGTGTTATAAAGCCATATTTAGTAGTGAAGGCAGGTTAACCTTATTCAAAAGAAGGGCCTGAGACTGACAGCTTATTTGTTTCTCTAACTTAAGTAAGTTTTAGGGGAAATTGTTTTACAGACTACAGGTATATCAGAAGGCAACAGAGCATGGTGAACTTTGTAAAGGATTTTATAAGGCAGCAAGGCAGTAAGTCTCCGTCTGCAAATTCCTGAAGCATGTGTATTTCTATTGCTTGAGTAACTGGAACCAGATGGAGCTTGGAAACCTTTCTATTTACACAGGACCTGAGAAAATGAAATGTCTTAACACTGGCAGAGGACAGCTTTGCAAAAAAATTCCCAGTTAAAGCGAAAGCTAATGGTAAGGTTGTAAGACTGCTAGTAAATGAACAGCTATCTATGCTGTGAAGCTCCAGTCAGTCTCAGAGCACATTTGACCTGGAGTTACTTAAGTGGTCGAGTATTGTTTGCTCTACTGGAAACCCAACTGAATATAGACCAGCTGTGGAGGCTGGGGACCGACAGACGTGCTGTCTGACAGGGCTTGTGGCACTCCTATTTGGCAGCCCTATCATTCCAGAAATATTTGATGTTAGGAGAATACATAATGGAAAAAATAAGGCAGAAGGATGAAGCAGAGGCAGAGAAAAGCAATTGCATGGAATGGAGAGAGAGACAAATGTAACCTTTTGCCTCTTTTATCTTTAGAAGGAATTTCCCAGCTTTCTAAGAGTAAGTAGACTGTGCCATAAAGCCCACAGCAGAAATGGAAATGCCAGGCAGCTGCCAGTCTATTGGCATGAGGGAAACTAGACCTCAGTGTAGAATAGAGACAATTCTGCAGGCATTAAGCTATGGAGAGTCAGAGGGACCTTTATGATCATCAAGTCACACCTTCCATGTTACAGAAGACGAACTTTTCTCAGGGTTTTTTTGATCAAACCTGGAACTTCTGTTGACATTAGAAAATTTATCTTCTAGCTTTTAGAAGGATTTCTCTCAGAAAATCAGAAAGACTGACTGAAAGGTGGCATGATGGAAAATTCACCACCCTTCTATGCAAGGTGTCTTAGTGCTTAATTGTTGATGTTATTTAAATTCACACCTGATTTTTTGCCTTGACTTGTCTAGTTTTAAATTTTCAGCTACTGTATCTCATAACACTCTTTTCTACTAAATTAAGGAGCTCTTTGCTCCAATTCATGTAGTCATTTTCAGATGACAATAAACTCACTCAGTGAAGAATTTAGCCCTCTTAGGCTAACTGGTTTGCTGAGATTCACTCATCCCTCACTGCAGGCTTGTCAGATCTCAGCTCTGAACCCTTCTGTTGGTTCTGGGCACAGAGGTCCAAGAAAAAAATATGCTCTATATTTGTTCACCAGCTGGGCATCTGTGAAATGCACCTTGGGTATTGGCATATGAACAATCTCCTAGATGCATCACACAAATTCAACTCTACCCCAGGTTTTCGTTTCCCTCCACTGCAATTCAAGAGGGACCAGGCCCACTCAGAGTTTGCCCTTGCTTTGCTGGAAAATAAGTTTGCCAAGACAAAAAACTGTAAAGGTGTGCTGCTCTGCATGGACCTACCCAGATGGGGGAAATCTGTGTTAACACAAATATGCAGCCATCCTAAGCAAAGACCTAAGTTTCTGCAAATACAGAACATCAGTTTTCAGAGAGTATTAGGCATTTCCAAAGATGTTGTTAGGGAAGAAGAAACAAAAAGACTAGAACTATCAAAAAGGCCCAGGAAAAAAATGGCAAAATTACAGAATACAAAAATCCGGTATTGTGGTGCTACTTCACTTTCACATGATTTGAGAGATGCTTTTTTTTTTTTGTGTGAAATCTTTCACTATATTTATAATTAAAAAAATGTAGAGTTTCAGGAATTTGAAGTTTTGAAATTCGTTTTGTTAAAGATGTTGACCAAACTTCATGAAAAAATCTCATATTTTTCTCCAAAATGTTCAGTGATTTCTGCAACATAGTTAAGTATTTCTGTAATATATTTAAAATATGAAAACAAACACAAATTTTAACATAAGAAATTTTGTCTGAGCTTTGCTGGGTGTTTTTTTAAGCCAGAGATTTTAGAGGTTTAGAATGTGACACTGTGTTCTAGTATCAGGCTTTGGAAGTAAACAATTATACAAAAGTTAATTAACAAAATAATATTCAGTAACTGCAAAATGCCACTTCTCTCTGATAGATCCAAGCCAGACGGGGGAATTCTTGTCTTTTCTAGGACTAATTCACCCTTTCCATCTTAAGCCACAGCATGTTGCAGCCCTTTTTTGTATTTTTATGCAGATGAGTTGGAAAGGTTTAAAAATGGCTTATGGGGGAAGCTCTTAAGTACAATGAGCACTTTGGCTATAACGAAGTGCTTTCAGCATATGCACAGATTATATGAGAGTTCTGCTTTCCACACAGTAGGAAGCAGCTGCATCAATATGACATATGATAAGAGCCCACAGGAATTGTCATGCCTATTGTGTCACTAATCCATAGATTATATGCCTTTTATAGAGCCTATTACATAACAGATCACAATGGGTCATCATGTCAAACCTATGGGGGATTAAAAGAAGAGATACTTTCCACATTCAGATTTTGATTTTTAGAAGTTAATTCTGTCTGTAAGAAGGAATCTTTTCCTTTCCCCAGCTTAGAAAAAGTTAGCCTAGCATACATCAAAGAACAAACCCTTACACAGAAGTCAAAGAATGCAGGATATCCCTTTTCTCCACTTCACTAGGACTCATCTGTAGATGCACAAAACCCACAGTGGCTAATAACAGGTTTATACAGCAACAGGGATTCCAGAAGCATGCATTGTGGTTAAGAAAAAGAAGGTCAAGCTTTGTTTTAACTTGTTATCTCCTGGTAGTAAACTGGCTAGCAGTATTCATGAGCAGACTCTTGTCTAATGAAATTTTTAATATACCGGCACATGAGACAAAGTTAACTTTTAGCTCCTCTTTTTCCAAGAACTGCATTTAAAAGCTTTTCGTCAGCCCAGAACAGACTGTACCGGAGACTATGTATGTATAGCCGGAGTCATCATAGACCCTGAGGTGGACTACAGGGATGTTGGAAATGGGTGATCAAGGGTAAGAGGGATTATTCCTCCTCTTCACAGTATCTCCAGAGCTTAGGTAACTCAGAAAGGAAAGTAGTACTGTGCAGCTTTTGGAAGTTGCTTCCATCCCCTCCAGTCAGCATCCAGTACTCAGTGTGAACCTGCTGGATACCACTATACCATGGGATGAAGCAGCCAAAATAGTGTTGATCAGGGTGTTTCTGAGACTGCCATAATTGCTTCTGGATCAGTGCCTCAGTACAGCAAACTGTGTTCTCAGCAAACCACATATTTGTAGTCCCAAAAGAGCAAATCTTGTGTTTCAGAACTGCTGCGAATCAAACTGATACACTTAACTCACCCCAAATAATGGCTTGATCCAGGTGATGCTCCCTGGAATAGATGAAAATGTGAGCCTTCTGTCATTCAGTTCACCAGGGTCCAGATTTCACCAAGAAAGTGCAGGTGCATCTTCTGGTTAGGTCCTGAAAATTTAGATTTTCAACAATAAATATGAGAATGTTTCACATGTTCTCATCATCTGAGAAAAAAACAGCAAACACTGTAGTTGTTTATATAATTTATTGATAGTGTACATAATTTATATAGTGCATTACAATACTGACTGCTATAATCTTTTATAAATGCTGAATTAACTATTTTTTAAAATTTTCACAACAAAAATAATTAAATATCATGCCAACATTTTGTAACAAATTATCACATTAAATCCATTTGGATTTCATGACATATTTATCTGTACAAAGGACCCCATATCACAGAGCATTCACAGTGCATAAGGTCACAGTCATTGAAAAAATAAATAACATGATAAATAGATTTCTGTTATTTACAGTTTACAAACTCATCCCTTTCTGTTTTCAAAGTAAGCAGTTCTAGAAAGTTTTAATAATATTTAAAGAGGTATTGCACCTCCTAAGGGTGCACTGCAAATGCCTGCAAGTATGAAACACAGGGAATTTTAAAAGGTTCAGAAGTTATTTCAGTGATTATAAACAATTTCAAATACTTTCTTGCAATGGAGGAGATAGTGGGAGCCAAATTCTACTCTCAGTTCCACTGATAGAAATTTGTGCCGACTACCAGGACATTAATGAGCACTGGCACCACTCCCAAGAATGTGAAGGCAAGAATTTGGTCATAACTTTGCTGCAGAGTTTCAGCCATTTGAAACACAGATGCTGCTGGGGAAGCAGATTTACAAGTGCTCTTTGCATACACAACTGGTGTATGAATGCAGGTCATAATCTTGCTGTAAAAACCCTCTGAAAGGAAGCATCTCAGTTGGTATTAGTCTTTCTAGAGATTATACCTGTCTGGTTTTGATATATTCTGATACCTTTAGATTCTGTCACAATTCCCTATTGCTATAAATCAACCTTTCTATTTGTCTTTCAAGTTTACCAAGATCATCTTAGTGATAAGACAGCAATGATCGCTTACATTCTTTGTGCAAGTAAAAAAGAAAAATAAATTGAATTAAATTCAAACTGGTAATTCTTGTAAGAAAATATCTAAATAGCATTAGTTTCCCATAATCATTTCTGTCAGACAGTGCACTGTATGTCAGAAGTATGGTAGCAAGCAGAACAATGTGATGTACAAATTGCCACAATCAATACACATCTCAGCCTGTGGAGAGGGAGCTACATGTATCTCACATTTCAGGACAGGGATGTATAGGATTTCACAGCTTTCTCTGGGGAGAAAATATCAGGACCTCACACAGGGGAAAATGTGAGAAAAGTGTATGCTCAAGTTATTCAAAAGGAGGTTTTAAAACATGTACACAGTAGGTCAGAAACTGGAATGCACGTGTCAGTTGAATGACATTCTTCTCTTCAGCAGAACATTGATCACTTGCATACACAGTTTTCAAAATAGTTCAAGGGAATAATAAAGGGTTTGGTACAGAATTGCTGGAACTAAATGCGATAATTTACCTGTGTAACCATCATATAAATCTCATCACCCAACAAAATGAAAAATCTGGAGTTCAGACGCAAAGAAATAGAAAGGAAATTGTGCAGTAAATGCATGAGCTGCAGAGATTTTCTTCTGAGTGCCTAAACACAAATAACAGAGGGATCTGAGGCTTGCAATGACAGAACATTATGCCCAAAGGTGATGCATTTCAATTAGGAAGATTCTTTGGTTTCACCTGGCTATCTGTTTTTTTAGTGTCTGTGTCATATTACATTAGGTCTGATCTCTCCTTGGCATGAATAATCAGGCAGTATTTACACAGCTTAAAGCACTCTACCAAAAACTTTTAACTGTAGGACACAAATAAATGGCATTACAATTGCAAGAAATCCAAGAAAGGAAGACAACAAAACTCATGAGGGATTTGTGCAACTAAAGCAAACACATAATAAAACAAGTGTGTGTAATTAAAGCACAGTCACAAAGGAATCAAGGACAGAATAGAATCTTCTCTATAATTGCTAAGCATTAGACTAGTAAAGACCTTTTCCATTTGTTTACATGTTGACAGAATGTTTACAAATACAATCTAAAACCAAAAACAAATTATATGTTTGTTACAGCTGCAGCAAGCATATAAAAAGAAAATAAAATTGGCACGCCAATGACTGAGCCAGGAGAAAGATGGTTGACTACACTGTACCTGTTGGGAAGACTGAAGGTGTTCTTCTAGGCTAGATTTTAGCCCAGAGAGCAGCCGTTAGATCATCAAGTAGTCATTAAGATAACCATAACTGTAGCTTTTTAGATTAGACATGTAGATCCTGAAATCTTTACTCGGGCAATACTTTCCATGAATCAGTAGGATTCAGAGTACCAGGAGCTGGACTTCCATCACACAACTTTATAATTCAGTACAATTGTTAGGGTACGTAAATAGAATCAGACACTGCTTAACTCAATGGAAACACTCTCACTTGCTCACTACAGACAGGACTGTACCCTGTGGGTCCGTGTGGGACTGTGCTACTCCAGTGGAACTGCAGTAGAAAAGAGCTGCTAAAAGCTCTCCCTGGCCAGCTGTAATCCAGTTTTGATCCTGCTTGTACACCAGGGCAGATGCACAGTTTTGAAGTCTGAGACAAGGAACCAGTTCTCTTATTTACAACACTGGAAATCCAAAGTGGTATCAGCAGAGCAGAAGTCTACAGATTCTGGCCAAACATTTCAATTTGAGGAAGAAATAAAATGTTTAGACTACAAACCCAATAAAATATTAAAAGATCTGAATATGATAGAAAACCCAGAAACCATGCTCTGCTGTCACCTTAGGGCACAATCCAGCAAGGCACTTGGATATATGCTTAGCTTTAAGCATGAATAATCCTACTAAAGTTAAGCTTTGCTGGATATGGGATATCTTTTTCTGAGTTGTATTACTTTTCAGTGTTAGTATGCTGGCAATTTTCATATCACAGTAACAGTTTTCCCTCTTACATCCACTAGCTTTCTTTTCACTCTTGAGCTGAACATTAACTTACACAACATTGTGACATACATTCCAAACTCAGCCAGCTAACTTTTGCAACAGTTAGTACAACAAAATGGCTACGAAATTTTACAGACACAGTCTGAACAGATGCAATACAGAACTGTACTAATTGCAGAGAGCCAAGCACAAATCACTCCTCGATTGAAAAATAGCAAAATTTGTAGTGGTTTCCTGACCACATGAGCAAAATTATTTTTTTTTTGTATACACGTGAAAGGCACTAGTCCGCTATTACTTGGCAATAGCCTCCTGAATTACTGATACATTCTGATGTGGGTTTATCTGATATACAGCAATTTGTCAACCAGATCCTTCTCAGGCCATTCAGTTTATCTGCATGGCTTGGTCTGTAACTGTCATCTTTATTTATTTTAGCATATGGATAACAACTACATAGGGACTCATTAAACTACTTCATATGATTATGTGTCATGAAGGCCCTGATACAGCATCTAATAATTCTTTGGCAAACAATACATCCCTGGTCATGCAGTGGTGTCAGAGAAGAATCCTACTAATGTTATTTATAATGATAAGCATGGCATGATACCTGTCTCATAGCAGAAGACGCATATGAGACCACGTCATGAAATGCAGCATTGGAATTCAATATAAATTGTCCTGAAGTGGGTCTATGTTTTAGGGAGGGCTATAGATGACAGGACAAGGCATGGGATTTATGGTCAGTATTACCTTCTGAGGCTATCTCTTGCTACAACAGAACACTCTAGTTTTCTGGAGCAGGTGATATTCAATTTAGGCAGAATAATTCTAAATTATGTCTGAAGGATTTATGGCATTAGCAAACACAATTTCATGCATATTTGGGCTGGGGATCAGCTGCTACAGACCAAATTGTTGGCCCTAGTCTTCTGAAGTTGCCTGGCTCAGAAATATGAAGGTACAGTACAATTTGCTAGGTCTGGCACCGTAAACATTGATGTCCTCCTCACTGTCAACTGAGCTAATCAATAGGCATTCAAAACTAGATTTTGGAACTACTCTTCTGGAGTGTAAAGACACCTGAGCTGCCTGAACTGTGCAGCGAAGAGCAAACATTTGCTTGGAGACAGCTAGTTCTCCAAGCCCACCTAAAAGCAGAACATAGGAAAAAAACCATTTACTCAGTCTCTCTCTCTGCTCCTTTCAGCCTCACATCTAAGCCATCACAAGATTTTCAGCAGCAAACTGTCCTCCTGAAAGATAGCAGGGAAGAGAGTTAAGACTAGACGGATGCTCCTACAGTGGTGCAGCAGTATGCTGCATCTTCACAGCCTTTCTGCAACAGAAGACTCAAAGATGAACATGAATTCCATCTCCTCAGCTTTACACTGCAGCAAAAATGTCTTGAATGCCTGGAAATGGGGTCACTGGCATACTTGAGATCAAATGTGTTTACTGTCATGCTTGCCCATTCAATAAAGCATTTTAATAATGTTGTATTTGTTGCCGTCTTTAGGACTGGCTAGTTTAACTACATAACTACTTAATTAAGATTAAAAACCTAAATGGATACTAATACTGACATTTGTAACCAAGTGTAAAGCAAATAACAAATATGTTGCTCTTTTTTCCTTAGGATTACACTGAAAGGATCCAATTCCTAAAAATAATTCAACAGCAGAATACACTCCTTAATTTGTACCAAAATAATTTGAAAAATAGCTTTAATTGTAAACACATTGCCTGCTGTAAACAGTATTCTGCATGTGAGCTGGCTAAAGATAATTATTTGTCATATATGTCAAAATAAGGAGCTTTCTGATTAAGTGCTTATTCACTAAGGTTTTAATAATATGTTCTCATTGACACAATAATGGGATTTTTCATATATAGTCTTAAGTGCAAAATGTTACTATATTTAAAAATGCATCAACTATTAGTTAATTTGTTTTGGTTTATAAACATTAAAAAATTAAAAAAATCTATGTATAAAGTTAACTGTGCTTCTTTAGAAACTTTATGTGATCATTCACATACAGCTTTAAAATATTTTTAAAGTTTAGTAGCAATTCAAAATACACTCAGTGATTTGCAATCATATGACTGCTACAATGTGGAATGTTACCCATTATTTTTAATACTCTGGGCCAGATCTTGCTGTCAATTACATCCAGAGTAATTCCTTATATCCCTGTATTTATGCTGGTGGAAAGGATATCAAAACTTGGCTTCTACTGGGGGTTAAAAAGAAGTATATCATGCTTCAAAACTTGCATGCAATCAAATCAAGGACCATATTCTCTTGACAGACTTGCTTTTGTCTAGGTGTTTCTTATCTGCACTGCTCAGTGTCAGACACTCATCTTCATTAAGCTTCTGGGAATAAATAAAAAATGGAGAAGAATACACCAGCTTCTTGACTGATGAAATAAGCTTCTTCCTCCCACCAATCAAATCAAATCATAATCAGGGTGGGTTTTGTTGTCAGAATGTCTGGATTATGTTCAGATACTACTCTTAGCTGATAACAATAATTGATAGTTACTGAGCACCCAGTTATATTTTATTTGTTTAGTTTCTTCTAAATTTACACAATGGGCTTACAAAGGCCAATGCAAAGTTTTTCTTGTGGTATAATATTCCACAAATGTTAGTTTGTATTTATGTATACAACATTCCTCATTAACGGTAGAACATATTATTCAAGTATGAATTTCTGCATGTAATTCTGTTCTTCAGTATGCAGATACTCTGACTTTTAGTATGCATCATCACAAGTGATACAACATAGAACCATTTCCTCTTCTTTCTCTGCCACATTGTTCATGTGCATTGAAAAGAGTGATAAGTATTCAACACTGCCATCAAAAGCTGTCAGTGCAGTTCCTCTATAAGCAGAGCACTTGAAGGGGGAAATGATGTCCTCAACAGTGCATGCCATGATATGTGCCTTGGACTTTCTGGTCCTGTAGTTGAGATATTTTGACTGAGCCAAGAAAAGTTCTGAACTTGCCTCTTATTCTTCCATGGAAAATAAATGTCAAAACCAAAAGAACAATAAAGATTTTTCTCCCATCCTCTTGCTAACCTTGGTGGTGGTGCTTGATTGTCTGCAAAAGGAGAATGAAAACACAACAAAATGTCCCATAAATGGGTCATTTTAGAGTTCTGCATAAGATCCACACAGCTTTATGACTGAGCAGCAATATCCAAAGAGGAGGAAAATGCTTTGGTTGCCTCGAGCTAGCATGTTAAAAGAAAGGTATGCTTTCCTTCCACACAGGTAAAAGTGCTTGTTAGCTGATGAAGCAGGAATGACACTCAAATTACTTATGGAAAGAAGGTAGAAATGTGAAATGCCTCCTGTCATTTACAGCACATGTAATCAGAAGAATTTCATTCTCTCTCCTTGTGGTTTAAATTTCTTCTCGGCACATAGGGAAGTTGACAAAGGTGAAGACATTAAACTCTATCAATATAGAGAAACACAGGAAAACAGCATAAAGAAACAAGACGTAGATGCCTAATTTCCTGTCAAGTTTCCACTTATTTACATGGATTCCAAACACCTGCAAGCAAACAAAGTGTTAGTTAATTGAGCACCAAAGGAGACTTTTGGAAACAACCATTATAAACTAAAAATTAGAGTCTTTTGAATTAGACATCCTGAACGAAGATAAAAATATATTCTCAATATATTTTGATTTATAGATCAAAAAAGCAACATACACTTTTCTGATCAAGAAAAGGAATGTAAAAGCCCAAACTAAGAACTCAAACTCTGCCCTGACTCTCAGTTGTCCTACGATCCTTTTACCAAATATTAAATGAACCCATTTTAAGGTCCCTTCACAAGTTCTTTACGTAACTGAGGAAGAGGCCCCTAGGTGCTCAGTTTCAGTCTGTGGTGCATTTTCAGTACATGGGGCATGTTCTAGTCAGGCAGCACTCTTTCACTGATTCAGTAAGAACTAAAGGCATGCACTGAACTAGATGAATGCCTCTCCCTCAAGTGCTCCCCTACAGATCCTTTATGTCCCTGTAGTACACCAGCACCTAATGTTCATTCTTTCAACAGCTTCAGAAGAGGTGCTTTCTTTGACGTTTTGCTCAGCTCCAGAACTAAGGGGAGTTACAAGTTACAGGTAGCAAAGCAATGAAGTCCTCACGAAGGCATCGGTTTTCAATGGTGTTGAGTGCCTCTGAATTATTATTTGTTTTGATCAAAACTCTCCACTGAGTTTTGCTGGGAGGGTCTGTGTGGATCAGGGTATCCAGCAGAACAAATGAGACAATAAAAGATGCTTCAAACTCAGGTCATATGGCTTCTTCTATGAAAAGACTCTTTTCAGAAAAGCATGAACAGCTAGTATAGTAACACATCTGCATAATCCTCCTTTTTTTTCCAGAGTGCTGAGTACCATGATTACCAATATGCGCACAGCAACATCAGATACAAATGTCTACACATCTTTGTTGTTTCACAGGAAATGTGCAGTATGGCAGAATGGGGGATAAGAAAAGAAAAGAACAGGCTCCCACAGCTTATATATCAGATGCATTAGGAAGTTAGTGGCAGAGTGAACAGCCCTGGTCATTCTATCACTTAAGTCATGCACAGGTGATGTGGAGTTTTGTAAGACCTATTCATGCAACAGTGTGAAATCTCCAGTGATGGTCCCCTTCTCCACAGAGCCTCCACGGGCATTCAGTGAAAGACGTTAGTATAAGTGGATATTTTTATACCTTTGGGATTTGATTCTTCCCACAGAGGGTTCCCTGGGAGTCAGCAGGATCAGACCTTAAGTACCAGCAAAATTGACTTTTGAAACAGAATTATTGTTTCACCTTAACAAATCATGTGTTACAAGGGTAAGTGTCTTATGCTGAGTGACAGTTAGCATGCCTTTTCAAAGTCCTGAGGTTCACGGTCCTCACCGACTAGTCTTTGTTAAGGGTTTTGGCTATAGCACTTAGTTAGTCCAGACTGGTTTTGGAAATCAGAGACAAGGGCAAAGGGTGATAAAGGATACCTGGGTCTTGTCCCAATATAAAGCAGAGACAGGCCTGGGGTATGCAGCAGGACACAGGAGCACAGAAGTATTATGGGATGCCACAATTTCAACACTGCCACTGAAATCAGTGGGACCTACACGTATCCAGCATCTCTTGCACCAAATGTCAGACATCAGTCCTCACTGAGGACAATGGTAGCTCTTCAACTCATGGTATTGCTAGGAGAATGATACTTTACAAGAATCAATGCTTTGGAGATAATAGCTATTTCCATTTTATCCTTCTGTAACATGTAAATACCTAATAAGTATATTGCAATTGGAATACTTGGAGATACTCAAATACTTACAGTAAGTGCCACTGATCCTAGCAAAAGTGCAACTGAATAGACCAGTCCTTTGCTGTTTATCTTAACCTGTGGGAATTAGACAGAGAAGAGATCTTTAAAATGCTCAGCATATAACTGTGCTTTGGAGATCAGAAATCAATTTACTGATTTATGGTCCACCTTTTGTTTTGAATAGTCACTGACTTACACATTTTAAACAACACAAATCCATGACAGATTTATCATAATGAAGAACAGGAAGATTAAGGAATCAAAACAAATGTATAAGTAATTCCACCTCCATAAAAAAAAATAAATCAGCATTTATAATGGATTTTATGTTAAAAGATCCTCAGGAGAGAGAGATAAGCTGTTATTCTCAACTTACAGACAAAAATACTAGGGCACAGGGAAACAGCCAGGTGTGCCTGAAGCTGTGTAGTGAGAAAATGAGTGAGTCACAAACAGCTATCCATGGCGCTATTTTTCTGCTATCCAGTATAATGTACTCCAGTTGACAAATTGGGAATTAATTGTGGCTTGTGGAAAAAGAATTGCTTCCTTAACTCCTGGTTCCTTGGCAAAGAAATAACAACTTATTTAGCAACCAATAACATGCTCAGCAGGTTGTTGGGGTTTTTTTTTAAATTTTATTTGCATGCTTTCTTTTTATGATTTTTTTTTTAAATAGACAAAAAGAACTAATTAAAGATTTTCCAAGTATACATACAATTGATCCATAATCAATCGCCATGGTCTGCAAACCCCATGGAACGCCAAGGCCCACCAGAATGTCAAAGACATTGCTCCCTATTGTGTTGGATACTGCCATGTCACCGAGGCCTGCAGAGAAAAAAACAACAACTCTTGGGTAAAAACAAAGTATAGGACCATTACTCTGTGTACTAGAGGAAACTAAAGGGGAATGATCTGCATTGATCCAAGCCCTCTTGGACTGGCCAGAGTATCTGAGGTAGGGAGACAATTTCTATAATCTTTGCATGACTTCTAAAAAAAGTGTGCAAAAACTGGTCACTCCAACTACATCTTCCTTGTGTCTTGGAGAGCCTTTACGGGGTGTGTGGTATCCATTCAGCATCTGAGTTACATGCCAATTAAAAAAACAAGTCTTGTTCTAGGTAGCCTGCAGCCACAAGTAACCTGGAGATTATGTACTGGATTTAGTATGTGGACATGTGGCCCTTATCTCATGTGAATGAAGAAAAGTGATTCTGAAAAGAACCCAACCAGATAGATGGTAGCCAAAGATATTAAGCACTTCTGTGGGGCTTAATCAGCAATGATTTCACTTCAGGAACAATAAAATGCTACAGGGGAGGAAAAAAGAGTGAATAGTGGTAAAGTCCCAAGGCATTACTCGAAATCTACTCCTAATGCTCATCACTGGTTGGCATCTCATTCTGCACCAGTGTCAATGGATGTGAGGAAGGCAGAATACTTCTCTGCCTCTGCTAATTTCCCTTAGGCACTGGCCTAACTGTTGAATCACTTCCACAAAGTGAATATTGGAAAGGTAGAGGAACTGTGACGTAAATGGGACATGTCCCACAAATACTTTGAGTACACAGAGTGGAGACAGACACTACCACATCATAAGTACAGTATCTCCTTTCAGGAAGCCACTGAGAGAAAGATTATGCTTTGGATCCATACTATGGTAGTGACCATCTCTACTTTTTAGATACTTGCCTGCAATCTGTCAGTAAACATCTGGAATCCAAGTTAGTGCAAAGTCCCTGTATTGTCTTTGAGAGAATGGGGCTGCTTTTTGCCAAGCTAGTGCTTACCTTCACTTCCAGAGGAAACAATCCCTAAAGTAGTTTTGCCTAATACTAAAGAAGAACTAATCTAAAGAAGCGGTCTGTTAATTTAAAAATGTAACAAGTTTTCCTTCTGTTCTTGCAGAAATCTGTTCACTTTAATACTATGTATGGAAAACTAATTTAGTGGGAAGGTGCTTCCATAAGAATCCTGAATACTTTTTTGTACTACTTTTTGTCAGAATTTCCAGGACACAACAAATAATACAACCTGGAAAACGAAATATTTTAAATATGTAATTCTTTTTGATCAACTAACATTTAACAGCACTACTCCTATCTCAAACTACAAAGGTGGGGCTTTTGAGTACTTAATTTATCACTTCAGAACCCTTGCTGTTTGCCCAATGATGTGTGCTGGAGATCTCATTATCTGGAAAAAAAAGACTATGGGAATTGGAACAGTGGAAAAGAATACAATTAGGACCTTTTCTTATTCTACTGCAGTATAGGAAATCACACTGTCAGGTTTAATGTTTTTCAACAACAGGAAGGGATGTGGCTACAGGTACCTCTCAAGTAACAAAAGAAATGTAAAGAACCTCAATCAAAACTTAAAGGTATGTGAGAAAGCCTTTGACAATTTCAATTGGAAAACTGATGAGGACATAGCTGACATTTATCTAAAACCCTTTCCAGTGCAGCTATTCATATGTCCCAATGGGAAAGAGGTCTGCATTGGATGAGAAGTATGCCTGGAGCAACATCACTTCTGCCAGATTCTCTTAAACCACTTCACTTCCCTGGGTTCGAGAGGTCTTCTAGAAAACAGTACAAGTTTTACAGGGACAAGTGCGGGTCAGCATATATTCTTCAATGTAGTTTTTGATAGCTGATATTCCAGTTTTGTCTACTACTTTTATCTTTTTACCCTGACTGATACATACCATGCATGGGATTTCTGAGTGTTGAATGACCTTCTAGAATGCTAGGGCGTGCCAAGTCCCATTAAGAAAAAGATAACAGGACAGAGATTATTTATTTGGTTCACAATAATTAGCGCAGTGTTTTGGCTTTTAACAAGGCCCTGAAACAGTAAAAATAAAAGAAAAAAAAGAATAAAATTGCACTGAGAATTTGCATGTATGGTGGAAGCAACTCACAGAGCATGTATGTAAGAATGCAGTTATGTTTCAGCAGACACAGTACCTTGTCTTGCTACTATTAAGCTGGCCATGCAGTCTGGGACACTTGTTCCTGCAGCTAGGAAAGTAATGCCCATGATAACATCTGGTATCCCAAGGGTGTATCCAATCACAGTCACCTGAACAGTAAGGAAAATAGATTAACCTATCACATTTGGGAAGTCTCCTCATTCCAGTACAGTTGTGGCATACTCTTAACTTTGGTTTCTGGTGTGGACTCTAACAGGATTAGACTCAGGATATTTATCCATTTCTGCAAGTTAAATAATTGTGGAATAACCAGCCTAAAACCAACCCTGTAAAAGGAAAAGTACTTTCAGTCATATAATTCAACATTTTAAGAGCAAACAAAAAGCTCCATTTTCTGTACTTCTAATAGGACGTACTGATCTTTTAAGGAGGAGCACGAATATAATCCAACCTGTGGGATTTTTTTTTTTCCATTTCCAAGAATGGCAAGATTCTCACTGGTTCTACTCTCAGAAGGACTGCAACCAATTCATATTGTGATATAGGAGCAGAGATATAAAGCACTTATTTTATCCCAACACATGAAGAAGGAAACAGTTTCTTGCATGACTTCTGATATAATCCCAAAGTGAACAAGTCTGGTTATGCTGTCCCCTGAGAGTCCAGACGCAGCTTTAAAAGAGCTTAGGCAATGTCTGAAGCTTGTAGCAGAGCTCTTGGAAAGGACAGGGAACTGTATTTAGCTGGAACATCCAAAGAAGGCTGAAAAAGTATCAAGAGAAAAGGCTGAACAGGCAACTGAAAAGGAAATAGCCTTGTGAGAGTGAGAAGACCGAATCAGGGACAGGCAGCTGCTTCCCTGCTGAGACTGCTAAGGGTGGAAGTCTTTAAGGCTCTGTGTTGTTTTCTTGAAATAGTTTGCCAGTCTCTTACATGAGAAAAACTAGCCCCTTCACCAAAGAAAAGGTGGATTTTAGGAACCCACTCACAAACCTTATTCTGAGGGACAAGCTGTGACTCAGAAATAGGAGTGGGCATGATTCTCCTGCTGCAGGTGGTAAGAGGGTATTTAGATCTGGCTGCCTCTTAAAACAAGCTGTGTTGCAGCCTTCATGAGCGCATCTCTCCTTTGCGAAGGGGATATCTACAAATGGCACCAAGGTACAGAGCATGGCCTTGCGAAGGACATATGGTATGAAATGAATGTGTGGCTTTGGCACCATTATGCCAGGCAGAATGAATGGCTGGCATATGAGTTTCTCTAACAGTCTACGTTAAGAGAAAAGAGGATTACTTTACAATACAAAACTTATATAGAAAGTTGCAAAAAGTATATGGAAAACACAATCTTCCATGAGAGGAAACATAAATATAAAGCGTTTTGCAAATGCCAATGCCTGACACATTTGAGGAAGGTAGAGATGTTCTCCATGCAAAAAAGATTTTGCAGGTAAGAAGCTCATGAACAAAAACTCTTCCATATGCACAACTAGAAGAGTGTATGTGTGTGTGTGTATATATATATAAAAATATATATGACTATGACTGTATATATGTGAGACTATAAATTCCAATATGAAAACAGCTGAAGGTTTCTTCACTATATTTTCCTTTAAAAGGAAAAAAGGGCATATAAATTCTTCAGCAGCATATCCTATCAATCTTCCGGTAATAGGTATATACAACTTTTTGGTTTTCCATCTTTAAATGTAGAAAAAGGTAACTTTCTATACTTCCAATGTATGGCTAATTTTTCCACCACAAAGTATTTGAGGAGCTTTCCTATTCACGCTGCTGCTTTGACTGAAAACATAAACTTGAGAAACTGAAAGAGGGTAAGAAAGAAAAAATAGGAACTTATTCAAATCTTCAAATAAGCATGATCCTGAATTGACAACAATTTAGAGATCTACACCTGATAACACTGCTTCTCACAGATCTAAGGCAAATGGAAACATATCAGCAATCATAATATTCTTCACTAAGAAGGATTTTCTTGTATTATTCCGTCTACTCGAGGTGTTTTACACCACTTCTGAGTCATCCATCTGCCTTTTATGCGTGTTTCAGTATCAGACCCTGTAGCCAAATTTCTAAAGGTGTCTCAGCTCCTGAGAGTTAAATGTTTTCATTTAAACTCCCTTTTACTAGTAGGATGTGGAGGTCCACATTCTCTTGAAAATCAAGCTGGCACATTTCTGTATTGTATTGGGCCCTATACAGTAAAGGCCCAATTACTTTTGCAGAAAAGAGCAGCAGAAAGCTAGAATTGTAATAATTAGAACATGAGCTGAAAAGACTGCACTACAATTACATGCCTTTAAAAAATACACAAAATACCTATTATCTATGTTGAGAGGCACATTTCACTCAGTATGGAAGTCCTGCTACATGCACTTACCATCCACACCATGAAGTAGGAGAACAAGGCAATCCAGAGAGTGGATAAGACGAATGTCACCATAAAGCACCTCTCCCAGCGTGGTTTGCTGCAGTTTGGAATGGTGCAAAAGAGCACGAATATCAGCGGCCATGTCAAAATCCATTTAATTTTGTTCATTTTTCCATCTGCAGGACAAAGAAAGGAAAGAACCAGTTTAGCTTTCCCATCACTATCCCAGGCCCGGTTACACCTCTTTGAACACAGCAGATGATCCCAGAAGATCCCAGAAGGATGTTTACAACTGTGCATGTCAGCTCATTTTCCAGTGTACCTTCCATCTATACTTAGTCTCATCACTCTCAGCCAAGTTCTGTGTGCACACCCAGAGCCTAACAGTTAAGCCTGCCAAGGTCTATGTAATCCATGAAAGAACTACAATGATTTAAAAGCATGGCTGATTTTAAAACCAAAATTAACAGCCAGGTTTGTTGCTCTTTCAAATACCTGTATTACTATTAATCCAAAATTAAAAAAAAAAACAACCAAAACCAAACAACCAAAAAAACCCGCCCCCCTCCCTTTTTAAAAAGGAAGATGGAAATCTTTGTAGTGAAAATAACCTGTACCTTTTGTGCAGCAACAGAAAATACTTTCACAGAAAACAGAAGCACAGACCCAGCCTATGAACATGACAAACTTGTTTCACATGCCTCACTGTGGTCACTTGGGAAGAACTTTAAACTGGTACGTAGGAAATCTAGACTTGTTATCTCTCTCAAACTGCATAGAGTACCACCTTGAGATGCTCTCTTACCCTCCATAAAAGGAAACTGAAGATACTGACCTCCCTCACACAGCTCTCCAAAATCAACTGGTGAGAAATACCAGAGAACTGTCACTACTGAAGACAAGTACAGACCTTGTCATTTTTTAAAAATGTAAAGTATTGTAAATGTGCACATAAATATCAATACATAAAAGAGAATTATTTTATAATTGGGTCATAAATAAATGGGGCACTTATATGAGGTATCCTGCAAATAGGATAATAAATTTGCTTATCAGGCTAAACAAGAGTATCGCAGCCAACAGCATGGTGGTTTTTGTTTGGGTTTTCTTTACATTGTTTTAGAATTATGCTAGTAAGGATTTCCATCATTAACTGATAAAGATATGCATGAGATCTAATAAAATATGCCATTTTGAATAAAATAGTTGATCGCATTGAAAAATATCAGATACATCTCCCAGTGAAGTTATTTAGCTAAATTATAAAGGGCAGGTAATAATCAGTGAAAACTCCTATCAATTTCACCAGGAATTTTCTTTCAGCAGAGACACTGGGATTTAGGATTTGTCTAATGGGAGTTTTTGTCAGCGAATTTAATTACATTGAAATCTGTCCTCTGGACCACTGTGCACCAGATGAAATGAAATTAAACATTTAAAAATTAATAATACTTTTGTAATTTATGAGGCTGCTTCCTAGTCTAATTCAACTTGGTGAGTCCAAATCCAAGTCTTTATTCATTTACTTCACTATGTATTCTAGTACTAAATTGTCTTGCTCAAGTTATGAATCAGCTCCTTAACTTGAGATTTCCCTGTGAATTCTGAGATGCCATCAACCCACCAGGAAATCTAAGACTAAGCTTAGCTTTTTATTCCCATTTAGCTTGTGGCTGTGGAACTTCTAACACATAAAACTACTGAAGTCTCCTAGGGTCAATTCTAATTCTAGAACTTTACATGTCACTGGGGATCTATTACAGATTTTACAGAAAAGTTCTTTTTCCCTCTGGCTACATATACTGCTATACAGATTTTTAAAACAGTTATCTTTTATCTGTTCTACCCAGAAAATAACACTTAGCTCACATCTCACTTTAATTCTGTTAACAAGGCTGTAAATATCCTATGGTAATTTATACATCCTCCTGTTTAATTGGTTACAGTTTAGATCATTAAAAGACTCCTGCTAGTTAATTTGTACTCTTTATCTACCCAAGTTGCTAAGCTTGGTTCATAGTCAAACAAGTCAGCATGGCCTAGGCCAGTAATTTCCTCAGTGCATAATTCTAAATGCATGGTGAGTGGGTGACTGTTTGACAGGAGAAAATTATGGATCCAATTCTGATCTGATGTGGGTGTAATCTGACTGACTTCAGTGTTGCTACACACAGGAGATTCAGTCCCATTTCTCTTTTCAATAATGTGAATAAAAGAAACAAAATTGCCTGGAGAACAAATAGAGAATAAATAGATGCACTCAGCCTCTGCTGGGGAATATGTATCTTGTCAGGAATCCTGCCTAGTGCCCTGAATTACTTAAACAAATGCTTAACTGTGAGAATTCACAGTGTCTTACCACTGGCATTGCTATGCTTGCTCAGTTCCAGGAAAACCAAAGCATTAGTGGAGGAGGACTTGCCTTTCCCTTATCTCTGCTCAGTTTGAATGGATGTGTGTCAGATTAAAATTCCTGGCTCTATTAGTGGTGATGCTTTCACACCATGTCATGAGTTGGAACTGGTTTTTACAGCTAGATGGTTTGTGGAAGTGACATTTGCATTCATTACATGGCAACCAGGCTTGAGACTTTGGGAACAACAACTGCATGTAATTTGGGGTTTTGTTGGTTAATAGAGAAGCTGACTGGCCATCTGCAGTTAGCCTGGAATAGTTTTGAACCACCATGGCCAAAGCAGCCTACTTGACACACTTTACATTGGTTTCTCTTTTGTGTCAGGGTTTGCTAGCTTTTATAAACTTTTATGTAAAGCCTTAAGTATATCTGTCCTCAGTTCTGCCCCAAGCCCTTTTCTTCAGCTCCTACTATGCTAGGTCATGGAACTTGTGGCACCCAGTGCTAAAGAAGTCTACTCTTATGCTGTAACTTGGTAGTTTTGTAAGAATTTAGTAAGTTTAGCAGCAACCTCAATAAGGTGAGACTTTATTTCCTTAGGAAATCAACGACTTCATTCATTTCACCTGGCTTAGATGATTGCACAAACAATATACAGCTTAAATATTTTTTTTAAATTTATTTTGGAATTACTTCTTGTCCTGCTCTGTTGTTTTGTTTCTGACTACCTACTCTAAAATAATCATTAAAATGATTTAGTAATAAATTTGTTAAATTGGGGTATGCTTTTAGTTCATGATAAATTGTTTTATGATTGTTGCTTAGCTCCCCAGTACATCTGCAAGAAAGAAAATTATCACCCTCATTAAGGCTATTATTCAATACATAGCTGTTCTGCAAAAACAGACAAACAGTCCCATTACAAGACTTTAGCTCAGTTGTTTTAATAGCAGTACTGGCCACTCCCGCGAGCCCTGGGACTGAAGGCTCCTGCGGCAACACACATAGCTGAGAAAAGGTGTATTTTGTTTGTTGCACCCCCCACAAGAATAATGAAAGAATATTGATTTATTACAGAAAGCAATACTGGTCTATATTCTGTTCACTTGACCCTGCTGTAAAACATAAAGATGAGGTTTTCGCATGAAGTTGTTTTTCCTAATTTATACATCCATTTTTCTGTTTTTCCAGATATTTGGAAGCCAAGCATGCCAAGTATTTCAGAGAGGTATCATTACAGAAGAGCCTGATTACAATGTTTCTGAAAATGAAGTAGCAGCCCTACAACAAAGAGCCCTTTGCTAATTTTCAATACATTTCTGGGCTTGTCATCTTTCCAGATGTTATGCTCACAATAATTACTTTTACATACGATAGTGTCCTGGTGAACAAAGTCAACAACACACATCACAGCACTGAGAGGAAATGAATATTTCCTTAAGGCACTAAAGAAAGTGCCTTTTACAGGAAAAATACTGTCCTATTTGCAACTTTCACACAGAGTTGAGAAGAGCTTAGTACGAAAGTGTGAAACTACATTTGTTTTCAATCAGATCAGGAGTGTACCCTTGAAGTAAATCTCCTGATTGTCCCAATTTACTGTATTTTGGTTTGCAATTTACTGTATTTTAGTTTGCAACACAGAGCAGTCTTGCATCACACCAATGAGATTCCTTTGGTATAGAGCTGAACCAGAGGCACAAACTTAAAAGTGCTCCAAATAATAATAGGCGTTTAGTCCATGGGACCAAGTTAGAGCTAGTCTGAAACAGAACTTCCAAACACATATAGTGCAGACAGCCTACATGTCCTAGTCAATAAGCTGCACAGATAACACTTTTTTTGAGTTTAGACAGACTGGAGTCTGCAACTACACTGTCAGGAATCAGATCTAAGTGAGTGTAGTTAGTTGAATTTGATAGCTTTTCCACTTAGTCTTCCCTTTAAAAGTGTGGTAGTCAAGCATAGACCACTGCTCCACACGTTAGCTACTTCAGAACATGCCTGAACTTTCACTTGTGAAAAAAGTATCTCCTTACACAAAGCAATTAGTAGCTGACTGATCTAAAAAAATTATAACATCCCTGAAAAGCATGAATCTAATTGGCATACAGGATTTTCATAACTGTATTTATAGGAATTTGTATAAATCTCCAATTTAAGGTAACTTGAAAAATGGGAAAGGTTTTCTCTAATTTAAGTCTATCTGTAAAATGAGAAAGGCTTCCTGGAGTTTACTAGGGATTTCTATTTTTCTGGGTTTTTTTTGCTTTTGACAATGGTAAACTTAGAAGAAAAATAAGACATGTTCAGGCTGGCCTAGGAAGATTATTCCTGCAGATTTTTTTGGTGCTCCACTTCATCATTTTTAAATTACTTTTTAATCGTTTAAAATCTCTCTACTATTTTTCACTTAAAAAGAAAAAAGCCCAACTGTTTTTCCCCCCATATAAAGTGATTTTTAAATCACCTGTCCCCTTGGTCCTAATTAGGCTTTATATTTACAAAAATGTATTTACACCCACATATCATTACCAATATTAATTCAAATCTCGACCTGAAAATGTGTACAGTAACATACATACTGGGAGCTTTTTAATAATACACACAGCAAGTAAAATTCTGCTAGAAAGTGCTGTTGTTCATCAGACTTGAGACCGACTGTAAAACTTTAATACATGTAAATTAGCCAATCTGAAAGCCTAATTCATTTCTGAGCATGTACAGTATCCAAAACACAAGGGAGGAATGTAAATTTTTGTTCCAAGTATGGGACTCAACGTAGAAACAACTGAAATAAATATAACAAACTAGACCCAT